CTTCGTCAAATTTTACCAAAATTTTAGGTAAATTTTTACACTTGAAAAAAATAAGTAGTAACTATTTCGTTCAGAATCATTAGGTTGAGAGTTTGCAACCCTTAACTTTAGAACTATCTTCCTCGATTGTTACAAAAGATATTAGAACGAAACTAAATGCAATTGGTAACTGCATCTCAGCTGTACTGTAGCAAATTTTTTAAAAATCTTTAGGTCATCTAGTAAACGTATAAATAATGTATTTCAATACATACTCACTATTTCTCCGAAAATCATTAAGGACTGAAGATTTACAACCCCCAACTTTGCAAACGTTTTTCTCGACTACAACAAGAGATATTTGATCAAGACCAGATGCAAATGGTAACTGCATCGCAGCTCTACTGCATCAAATTTTTTAAAAAATTTGATGTCATCTACTAAAAGTATAAAAAATGTATTCCAAATAGATAGTAACTATTACTTCGAAAATCATTAAGGATTAAAGGTTTACAACCTCTAACTTTGCACGTAATTTTCTCAAACCTGTTTTTGTGGGGTTAATAAGGACTGTATAAAAAACACATAAAAAAAACATTCCGAATCTTTATGAGTATTTGTAAAATAGTCTCACGTACAAAATATGTAACGACTCAGAATCTGAAAAATGAAAGTAATCGAGTTTCATTTTTGTAACTGTCAATAGTACGCAGGGATTAACTATTTCATTGGATCGTGCAATATTTGCATGTGTATGCAATAAAACTGGATGATATAATATGTACATACGTAGATGTGCAACGTAATTAGCTGATGCAATATGCAATGTGACGATGAGATACCTTTATACATTCAGCCAAAGTAATGTTTATATTTCTTATTTTTTATTACACATTTTTTATATGTACATATCATATATTTTTAAATCTCCTAGCAAAACCAGAAATAGAGTATTATGCTTATCTTTTAATAACAAAATTTATTTACTCTTCTATTTTATTTATTATTGAATATTCTCTTATTTGTATTCTCTTATTTTGTTTATTTCTGAAGAAAAATATTTATTTACCCTTTTATTTTGTTCATTCTTTAATAAAACAAACATTTTATTCTTTCGTTCTGTTTATTTCTGAAGGAAAGAATTGTTTATTCTTTCATTTTGCTTATTCCTAAATAAAAACATTTTTTACTCTTCTATTTTGTTCATTCTTGAATAAAAAGAAGAGTAATCTGTCTTATTCGATCAATTTAAAGTCAAACCAAACCACAAAATCACAGCCATTGGTCACACCGCAGCAACCGGCTCTCCACTATCCCATGAAATCCGGTATTTCGTGTGACGATTTTCGCTACACCCGTTATACCGTAGCACACCGTAGAACTGGTAGGTTCTGGTCTACCGTCAACGAAACCAAGAGGGAATCAATGATTTAAAGGAAGCGCGAGAAACGCGGTAGGGTGCGACGACGCGTCAGCCCCCAAAAATAAGGTTTCGGATCGGCGTCGGTGACGGGACGAACGTATGCGAAAAAAGAGAACCGTAGCCGGAGAATTGCTGCAGAAACTGTAAATTCTCGAGAGACAATTTCTCGGAGGTGCTTGCCGTAGCTACACACAGTTCGAGGGAAAGAAGGTCTCTGTCCTCTTGCGTGGATCACGACTTCCGCTGTGCCAGCAAGAGTTTCGTCCCTCTTTACAGCTCCTGCTTCGCGCAAGGGATGAAAGTATCTCAAGATTTTCTCCTGTCAAGTGTTCCTTTCCGTCGTCCCGCCGACCCCCGTGAAACGCTATCGCTTTGTTTGCGTTTTCCTTTCAAAGGAGCGTATGAAGATTTTGGACAGGAAGCCGGGCGCGTCCTCGGTTTCCAGGCGCAAGCATCTGCACGCCTGTGTGCGCAGCGATTGTCTGTCATCGCCCTTTCGATTTCTCAGTTATTGGAACCGTGACAAAATCGGCTCTGTGTGTGCGTTTCCGTGGGTTGCCCGTGAAATATTCCCAAGCCGGCGACGAGTTTATTCAATTCTGCTAGGATTTTAGTTGCTGCGATTAGAAACGTTGATATCGATTATCGATGCGCGTTTACGACGAAGATGAGAGCATCCAATTCTGTTTTCATATGGTAGATACGTTCCCGAAAAAACCGTGCAAGAAATGGCATCCGGTACGTATACAAAAGTAGTTCTGCCCCAAATGAATGGAAAATATTTCGATCAATGGAAATGATTATTCTTATAATTGGCAGTCAAAAATTGATTTGAAGAGTGTAACATCTAGATTTGTATGGGTGATATAAAAAAGAGTACGATAAGAGTAGAAGATAACTTTCATAAGTCTTCATTTTGGATGAGTCGAGTGACAGTTATGGTAGAGATACTACATTTTTTTGATAGTATTCAGGACGTAGAGAAGGATAGCAATCGCTAAAGGAAGAGGAACAGAGGGTTCAGGCGCGAGTTTTTTATTTCAAAAAAAAATTAAACTTCCTTATTTCTCGGTTTCCATAAATAAAAATAACTAAGTAACTGAGTTGTGAGTAATATTTAATTAAAACTAATGGTGTATGGATTTTTAACATTCGTCAACAAATAACAACGTGTATCTCGAAGAAATCATCTGATGATTTAGTAACTAAGTTGTGAATTATATTTAATTATATCTAATGATCTATCGATTTTTAAGATTAGTCAACAAATAATAATGTACGTTCGACAAATAAGTCGATGATCTAGCAACTAAGTTGTAAGTTATATTTAATTGTAACCAATGGTGTGTCGATTTTTTCGATTGATTAATATTTACATTTATATATAGGTTGCTTATCGATTAATCGTATCACTGAACAATTAGTGGAAGAATCGAAGAAGAATTTCTCGGTTTTTCTCGACAACGGACCGCACAGTGTGACGTGTCTCAAAAACGCAACGATACATTCCCGACGGTGTTCACCTGGAATCGTGGCGGTAATATTAAAATTTCCGTTCACGAGTTTCCAGACGCGGCTTATTCGCTTGAGCGCGTTATTTCTCTTCCCGTACCTCGTCCTTTTCACAAGCCTGAGAAGCTATCGCTTTGTTTGCCTCTTGCCCTACGGAACACGTCTAAACATTTGTATCGAGCGTGAAAGTAAAGCGCCGTACGCGCCGCGCGAGCTTAACCGTTCCCTCGAAACTGTACAAAGCGAGACCGTTCTAAGAATGTGAAAATGCACGCCGGTCCGCAAATAATTTCCCTCGTTTTTTCCGCCGGTGAAGGTTTTCTCTGCGCGGAGACGGATCGGTTTCAGGCAAAACTGAAAAATACTATTTCCCCTTCTGAAAATATT